TATTAGGCATGCTTGGAAATTTTAGCTTACTGTTTTCCTTCAACTTCTTTGTTGACGTTCTTCTTGTCTCCATTCCTCATAAAACGCAGCAGGAAGACACACAGATACACAGATATTCTTAGGCACACTTGGAAAAATTAGCTTACTGTTTTCCTTCAAATTCCTAGTTGACATTGTTCTTGTCTCCATTCTTCATAAAACGCAGCTGGAAGATACACAGATATTATTAGGCAAGCTTGGAAAAATTAGCTTACTTAGACATTGTTGTGTCTATTCTTCATAAAATACAGCTGGAAGATACACAGATTACTCCAAAACAAGGAACGAATTCTTGCACTGTGTCTACCACCTTATATTATGATTTAATATCCATCTAAACATTCTCTTCTAATCTGCACTGATGTCATTTTAGTAGGAAGTGAATTGATTCTACTTTCTGGCAGCTGTTGATTGATCCTTTAGTCCTCATTGAATTTTATTTTATTTAATTCAGTCTGTTTCTCCCATCTGTGATGAACATTGTGAATTTCCACCATGCTCAACCATGAACTTCACTTTTTCCACAAGAACTCACACAGGGCATTTCTTTGTGTCTTTTTATTCTAACCAATCCAACTCTGTTCTTGTAAAATTGATTCAACAATTAAGGGCACACTTGCTTTATGGCACTTTTGTAATGCGAGTGACTACACAGGACATACAGACATGTTTAGAAGCTCATCCTATGAAGCATATATGCGCACAAGCTGAAAATGAGTCTCTTACCTTAAATATTCCATCATGTTCACAACTTCTGTGGCACATACACAATTCGCAGAGCCATCCTTTTTTATTCTTCCAGCATAAGAATATACTTCATGGTTATGTTCTTCACTTTAATAGACTGTTTCTATGTGTTGCAGAAAGGTGGTTTTTTTTTAATTTAAAAAATAAAGAGACACAAATAATTCAAACCTGTTTCCAAGTGAGTCCCTCTCACGGAATCAGCCTTCGTTGACATAGCTCTTGCCTGTTACTAGGCAACCTTGACACATTAGGCACTGCGTGTCACGTATGTCGCTTTTTCACCTTAAAAAAAAATAGAAAGAAATGAAAGGGAAAAAATATAGACCAAGTACAAGCTATAGAAAGGTCAGATTGAAGTTAGGCTTTCTATATCCAGTGCACTAAAACATACTCATTTCAGACAGCTCATACTGTCAAAGTCCATGCTAATAAAAGTTATTCGTAACAGAGCATTATACCTCAAACATTAAGTACATGAACAGAGAACTAACTGCAAGCATTTCAACCCAATAGACTTTCATAATTCATCCAGTTGTTAATGTCCGCTAAGTTCTTTTTGTTGTTATCTTTATTTGTGTGCTGTATTTTATTTTTTTCTTCTGGAAGGGCAAGATACTCGCCAACGACATCATATTAGTATGTAGAACAGAAGACACATTCAAATTTAATAAACCATGATAACAGTCAAGAGATAACCTTACATCTTGAATACAGTTACATTGAATTCTTAATAGAAATAATGAGTATTATCTGTGTACACAAGGGCCAACAGGGTACTGAAATTGTTTTTTTCATGAATATGTACCAATATGCGCTGATTATATCTTTGATCTGTCCCAAAGGTGGTACAGTGGTTCTGAAATAAAATGTGTCACAGTGAAAAATAGGAGAGATTAAGTCTCTCTACAATGTAACAGAGGGTAAAAGCCTCACTATAAATCTATCCCTGACATAAAGCATGCCTGATTACAGATGACACGTGCAGAGAAGTAAATAATTCAGCTTTAAAATAAAAGATTCGCTTATTACACTTAAAAACAAAGTATATTATGGAAAACCCTTGCTTTGAGTTACAGAGAACCCCTTATTTTTGTTATACTTTCAACACAAAATATGCCACTTACTCAGCTTTGTCATATTTGTATGTGCGTACATATGCACACCACATTCTTTTCCTTATCATCCCACCTTTACTGACTTTCAATGAAAAGCAGATGGACTATGCTTTGAAGAATACGCACAAAACAGAGCCTTTAATTCAACTTAATTATGCTGTTTGAACAATTGGTAGGTACAATTGTTATCACCTTCCCTGGTGCTTCAAATAACAGATTAACCATTTGAAAATACTTAAGGGCTTTAACACATGCTGAAGCTCTCACTATATTGCAGAGCAATTTACACCTGCTTCTTTTCATCTAAACGATCTCAGATGCCCTATTATTACATACATATGTATTTGTTTGTTACTGATACCAGACTCATTTAGGAAACCTTTTATTTAATTTTGAGGACCTAGACTATAGTTGATAGAGCACTAGAATAAGCTATCAAAATAGGTTGTGAAAATTCCATCTCCAGAGATCCTAAAAACCTGCCAGCACATTGTCCCATGCAACCTTCTCTACTGATCCTGCTTTACCAGCAGAGTTGGACTAGGTGATCTACAGAGATCGCTTCCAACCCCTAAGATTCTGTGATTTAATCATTTAATTATTTATATTTGATTTTAATATATATAGGCCTGTACCTAGAGAAGAATGAGGTTTTTATTTCCAAGTAGTTTAACTTAAAGCTGTCTTAAATCTTGGTTAGGTAAAGTGTAACATGACTGCAATGTAGGGAAGTTGCTAATGACTAAGAAACACAAATAACCCCAGAGGAACTACAGTAGCACAAAGAGACCACAATTACTACTGTCTTCTCTACCACCTCACTGACATGCTGCTTTACCTGCTGCAGCTCAAAGATTCCCGCAGAGATTTCTGGCACAGTAATGAAAATCCCTAAATCTCTTAAGTGAATTGCGAAATAGCACCTGGTCTCTACATTAGAGGTATGATTACAAAAGCAGATGTACTAAAAGGTAAGAAGCAAAATTTTAACTCATGGTGGTACCGTGTGCAGAAATGACTACCAGTAACAGGACTTGCAAGAAATATAACAGATTGAAGAAAATGTGAGGACACTGAAGCACTCAAAT